CACATGGGTATGGCCTTCCTTGGTCACATTGGCCTTTTCTGGCCAAATTAGTTTTACTAGAGTTCAACCCCCACACTCTCTCTATTATACTTTTGGAACCCTTTGCATCCCCCTCCCCCCCCCCTTCTTGCCCTGGGGGATGATTGCTTTGGGCTTTCACCCAAGTCCATCTCAGGTTCATCTTAGACTCCATCTCAAACTCTATCTTGGGTCCATCTTGACAATTCCACGTGTCATATATTGGTCCTCTTGTGTCCTTTTTCTAAAAACTCACTTATTACTCGCTTTGTGCTCATTCCTTGAGCACTTTGTTGAGAGTTCCACTCATGCTCTCGACCTTTCAAGTTGGAGCTTTTACTCTCAACATGTTACACTTGTTTGGCTTCTACTGCAGCCACTACCACGTGGCACCAATTCGGCTCCACTTTTAGGGCTTTGGGATTTGTGTCTTACAGGTACTTGGGTTAAATGTCCTTGGGTTTGAGTAATATTGGGTTGTGTGACTTTTCAAGAAGTTCAAATTCAAAACTTTACATTTAGTATCAAAAGTGGTTTCAAATCCAACTTTGTTGGTTGGGTACGGGAATCATAACATGCTGAAATTGATATTTGGTAAGTTTAATTTGCCTTTAATTGCCTTTAGGTGTCAAAGGAACAAGGCTACATAAGCATTTTCATTTCCTTTTATCTTTTAGTAAACCCTCTTATTCTACAATTGAATGTCAAAATAAATCAACTAAAATTGCCTCCTAGTATTTGTAGAGTTCTTTTGAGAATCATTTATTTCAGTTATTACACATCAATGCAAAATAAACTTACTAGGAATCCTTGCAAATATATAAAAAAAAAACCTTAAAGTTAGAGATATGAGGCTTAAAAGATCTACAACAATATTGTTTGTGGATACCATTGAAAGTAATTATTTGTTAAGTAGCATCTTGGCTGCCAATTGCAAATACTACAAAGTATTTCATGAGTTTTTATTGTTTATTGTTTTTGTTTTTAAGATCAAAGCCATATCTCCTAATAACCAAATTTTGCTGAGGGAGAAAAAAAACTCTAAGGTAGTGTATTAATTTTAGGAAATTCTAAAGATGGGAAAAGGAAGAATGAAAATAAAAGATTTATACTTTTCTTTATATAGTAGATTGTCAATTTTTCAATTTCTTTTATATTATTTAATAGAACTCAAGCAAGTCCTTTTAGATCTCCTCTTAGCCCTTTTATTTTATCTAACTTGCTTGTTATTTTCTTATAGAAACATGAAATTGTTTTAAAATTCAATTACTTTTTATCTAACAAAAGTAAAAGTATTGTGATGATTAATTTTGATTCAATTAACAAATAAAGCTAATGTGGTGATGTGAAGTTGAAAATAACACTATCAAATTTTTCAAATTCACTCCTCCACAACATCATTACTTTCTTTTCTTGCTTCTCTTTTTCAACTTAAAAACCTTACTCAAGTTAAAAAAAAATTTAATATCTCTCTTCATTGCTTTTGGATGTTCCTTCTATGAATTCAACAAAAGATCTATCATCTCTTCATTGCCTATATTTTAAAGAATTTAACTTATTTCCTCGTTACTTGTTTAAATTTTTATCAATCCCTCCTTAACAAGTGTTACTCCTCCTCATTCATTCCCTTCTTTTCCCTCTTGAGCACTTTTATGATATTGACTATTTCCTCATTATTAATTTTGAAATCTTTCAAGTCTTCAATTTGGATTACTATTGCAACTTCATGGCTTTTTATTTTTAGTTAATAACCCTCATTTAACTGTTGTTGACAAACAAACCTTTTCTAGTCTCATCTTGAACTAGAGTATATTTAAGCTTCTTGTTTTGATAAGCCATGTCATTTTTTTTAATTGTTGCTTGATCATACCTACTTTATATAAGTGGGTCTTGTTTTTCCACTATAAATGAAATTTTTCTTACATTAACTGCAAAGGTACTTTATTGGCCAATTTTATTATTATTGAAGTAGTTAAATTTGCCCCACTCACCATGATTGCACTTTATACAAATTAAGTGCTACTCTTTTAGATATGTTTTCAAGTTTTTAAGTTGTCCACACTTTTAAATTGAAAGTTACTCTATTAGGAGGATGAGGACTTAAAAAATGGTCCTGGAACTCCTTATACACTTTACTACTTTTCTTTGGCATTACTACTTCTTTAGTGAAAGGATAAATGGAAACCTAAAATATTTCACTATTTTAGAAGTTAAAAGAGGTTGAGTGGGTTTAAAATTAATTTTGGGTAAAGGGAGTTTGGGTAAATTATCAAATATATTTAATGTCATAAAGGTTTTATTGTGGGGTTATGAGAACATTGTCACATTGCATGTTAGAAAGAAACATTCCAAATTCTGAATGCTCCATTAAAAACAAACTTGAAAAGGACCTCAAAATAAAGCTAAATTTTAAGGAGTGAGTTATAAGAGAACTGTATCATAAAATGAGCAAAAGCACACCTTCCAGTCTTGGAAGCCAGAGAGAGGGGGAGCATTAGAGTGCAAGTGAGCAATCATTTAGAATGTAACAATCAGGCCTATGAAAATGGCAGAACTTTGAGCCTCAGGAACATTTTGTAGTTCAAAATGTTCTCAGTAGGAGAGTTGAATTGGTCTAAGAGGGTTGTAAGATGAGATTGATGATTAGCTCTACATCAATGAGTCTGCTGAGACAATTGACAGGATGATCTTGAGACTCCATTCACGCTTTGTGCATCTGTTCTTCTCCTTCCCTAAGAGTTAAAAGTCAATACCTGTTGGGAGGCTGACCTTGCCACTGCCAATGGAGAAATAGAAAAATGGAGGTAGGGGAGAGCCAATTCTACCAAAAAACTCAGCTTCAGGTCTATCAACTTACCATGGTGTTTGCGTACTGTTCTTATATGTATGTTGTTGTTAGATCCTCGGCTGGTCTTGGATCATATAAAATCTCTCCAAGCATCTGAAGCTTGCTTGAAAGACTAGGTTTGCAAGTTTGGCGTTGCGAGTTGTGTATTTTCCTTATTCTTTTTGTTTCTGATTGAGTCTTCTTTGTCATTTCACAGCTCGCTATGCTGATCCATTTGTCAAACAAGGAGCAAGAATTTGCAGAATTGAAGGCAAGTCTCTCTTCAATGTTTCTTTGTTTTTTTCGTTATAAACACAATAGCACTTTAGACTCTTGTTCACGATTTGAAACTTTCGTTAAGGCCTCCAACACTTCAGGTACTTGTGTATTTTCCAGGTTAACTAGTGACGACATGAGACTGTGACCTAACAAAATTGTAAGATCGTCTTTTGCTGAATCATGTAGTTACACATATGAAGGTTAGTCTTTTCCAGGTCTGAGGTTGTGACTTCCAAAGTCTAGGAGCTGGAATTGCGGAAAAGAAGGCCAAAGACCTGACTGACGATACTCCGCACAGTAAAAACGGCAAAATGCTCATGACAAAGTGTCATACGCTGCAAGAGGGGGAGGGAGGCTTGGGAGGGGAAGGTTCATTTCTTTCCAGTATCTTCGACTTGTTTCAAGCAAAACGTTACAGATACATGATCTGGAAACAAGGCTGGCTGTTCAAAAGTCTTGAGCTCTAAATTGAAACGCAGCTATCAAGGTTTGTAATCTTACAACGAATCTCCTGAACGTTCTAAAGGTTTAAAATGTTGTGCCAGAGTTGTTTCGGTATGTCCATGATCTCAATGAAGAGGCTGAGAGCTGTAGCAAATGGTACAAGCTGGGAGGTTTATTTTGACATGTTTGTCTTGGACACAGGTGCGTATACTGCAGAATCAAGTGGAGCAAAAGGACCGGCAAACGGATGACACAAGAACAAAAAGGGACTCTAGTAAGTTCTCGTTTGTCTATAATCCTTGTATCAAAGCGCTTGTGGTGTTTTTCAATGATGCAATGGTCCCATCACGCTCTAAAGCTATATACTTGATAGAAACTTACCTGCCGAGAAGATTGAGTATAATAGTAGTCGCGTGATCACTTCCCGCGGCCACTGCCGATCCATAAATCTACACGCAAGATACAAGCTTTTCCTTCACATTTGCAAGTTTCTAAGCCAAAGGAAAGAAAGAAAATGCAGTACCTCCTTCGAGGGAAAAAGATGGTCATCGTCCTAGAGCTCACCAAAACGTTCAAGCCTCAGCCGAGAAATAGACGCCATAGCCAAGCGTGGAAAATCCTAAAATGGATTTATTTCTTCTCGAACACGCTTGACCTTTGCCTACCATCACCTTTTCAGCAATGGAAGTGAAGAACACAGCTGCTTGTACTTGACAATGTTCTCGTAGAAATCCTTGAGTTTCTTTTGCTTCCGTCACCCAAGACGGAGATGGTAATCACATGATTTAGATGCAATGGAACTGATCCGCTTTCAATAGAAACAGAATCACAAGCTAAAAACTGGAGCTAGAAGCTATGAAAAGCCCTAATTGTTTTGTTTATCTTGAGTTTCCAACTCCAGGCAAACTTGCATTCAAACCGAGCCAGTGCTTTGACCTTCCATGAAAACCTGGACATGCTCGAATGTTCCTGACTTTTTTCAAGACGCTGGCTCAGGAGAGCTTGTGGCGGTCAAGAGGATTGGTGCTGGATCGCAGCAGGGGGACAAGGTGATGTCCATCAGCAGCATCCATCACCTCAATCTCGTCAAGCTGTCGGGATTTTGCCTCCATTCATCACTCAGCTTGTTCGTCTACGAGTTCCTCCCCAAGGGCTGGATAGCTTGGATTAGATAGTTTCTCCGTGTGTGATGGTGAAAATGCTCGAGGGTGCCATGGATCTTGTTGTATTTCCTGGAGAGACCACCTTTTTCTCACTGGTAGTGAGTAGCAGTCTGAAGTGTTCCATCCCGGTCTCGGATTTGGCACGCTAGAGGATTTGCAAAGTCAAGAATAAAAGTCAATGTATTCAAAGACTCTCTTATCGTCCGAAAACTTTAATGTTTTTAAGGGGGTTAAAGGTAGTTGCCCTAATAAATTTTAGGGTTGTTACAATGGCGGGGGGCAGAGGCAGCGCCTATTTCGTGGATCCGCTCCTGCTGCCTCGGATCGAGCAATACGCGCACAACAACAACATCAATCACATCGACAACACGGTAGATTATCTCCGGCGATCTTACAGGGAGTACCAGCGGAAGCAGCTGCTGCCATTCCGGAAATCCGTGGAGCAAGCGGTGCGCATCGTAAATCAGAGCGGGGAGAGCTCTGAAGAGAGCGAAGGGGAGGAAGCGGCGGCATCATCGCAAAAGAGCTCGCAGAATCACAGGCCTATGATCTTCCTGGACACTCCAGTAAGTGGTGGAGTGTCCGGTCCTTTGACAGTTGCTAGAACACCGAATAGCAGGAAGAGAGAGCGAGAGAAAGAGGAGGAAAATGCCGATAAGAAGCGGAGCAGTGTGGTTCCTCCCGAGAAAAAGGATGGAAGGCAGCCAAAGTTCGCAGGGGCGACAATGCCGCAAAATGTGAGCTTCAAAGATTTTGGAGGCCTTGGCGATGCCATGGACGTGATCGTGGAGTTCATATTCCCGGTGGTAAATCCCGACGTGGTTGATGCGGTGGGGATGGAGCATATGAAAGCTTTGCTTCTTCATGGACCTCCTGGCTGTGGAAAATCTCTGCTGGCCGAGGCCATTGCGAATGAAGCGAGCGTTCCCTTCTTCAAGGTGTCAGCTCCAGAAGTTGTGTCTGGAACATCAGGTAGGAACTTTTTCTTTCGTTCTTTCGGTGAGAGTTTTGTTTTTATTTTTATCTTTTCTTTCTCTTTCGTGGTTGCAGGTGAATCGGAAGCAAAGCTAAGAACACTGTTTTCCGAGGCTTTTAGAGTCGCCCCAGCCATCATATTCATCGACGAGGTCGACGCTATTTGCTCCAAGAGAGAGTCTGCTCAAAGAGAGATGGAGCGGCGGATTGTGACGCAGTTGATGGTCTGCATGGACGAGATTGATTACGCTCCACGAGGCTCCGAAAGTGAAGGTGGTGACAGTAACAAGCTGAGGCGCTTGCTCGTGATAGCAGCTACAAACCGGCCTGAAGCTCTGGATCAGGCTCTCAGACGACGTTTCGATCGCGAGATCTGTTTGAAGGTGCCTGATGAGAAAGCTAGGCTGCAAATATTGACAGTCCTCGCCAGCAAACTTCGCCTTGATGGAGAGTTCGACTTCAAGGCCATTGCAAGGCGGACGCCGGGTTTTGTCGGTGCGGATCTGAAAGTTCTTACAAAAGAAGCTGGAGTTGCGGCTATCAGGAGGATTGCTGCAAAGAGGAAGGCAGCGCCAGCGGAAAACGAGGCTGAAAATGTGTGGTGGAGACGTGCTTGGACTCCCGAAGAGCTCCAAGAACTGCGGGTTACAATGGACGACTTCGAGGTAATGTTTTTCTGTTCGGTTCACTCGCATTTGTTTCTTCATGCAAATGTCAATGCAGGTTGCTATAAAGAAGGTAGTGCCATCCACAAAACGAGAGGGGTTCACGGAGATTCCAAATGTGAGCTGGGAGGATGTGGGAGCTTTGGAAACTGTGCGTGAAGAGCTCGAGTTTTTAATCTGCAGCCGTGTGAAGCATCCTGAGGACTACGAGGTTTGTCGGTAGTTTTTCTTTTTTGCAGTACCATGGCACTGTGTAACATGGTCGCCCTGTGCAGACTTTAAATTTCTCGGACAGTGGATTTCTTTTGTATGGGCCGCCTGGATGCGGCAAGACTTTGGTTGCAAAGGCCGTGGCCAACGCTGCTGGAGCCAACTTCATCTATATCAAGGTAACAAGTCGTCAAGAACTCTCCTTTGCGCTCTAAAAAATCAGCTTTTTGACGCAGGCGGGCGAGCTTTTTAACAAATACGTTGGTGAGAGTGAGCGAGCGGTTCGGCAGCTGTTTTCTCGTGCCAGAGATTGCTCGCCTTGCCTCATATTTTTTGACGAAGTACATCTTTGATGTTGAAGTTTTTGTCTAACGTGTTCTTACAGATAGATGCATTGGCACCAGGCCGTGGAAGCGAAGCAAATGCGGCGACTGACAGGGTAGTGAATCAGGTAAGCTCGTGAATGTCTGCTCTCTGTTTGTTTGTTTATGTTTTAAAGTTTTGCAGCTTTTAGTCGAGATGGATGGTCTGGAGCAGCGAAAGTGTGTATTCGTGATTGGAGCGACAAATAGGTGAACAAGAAAAACGGAATTTTTTCGCTCTTTTGTAAACGGGTGCTGTTTTCCAGGCCAAACATGATCGATACTGCGTTGCTCAGGCCGGGTCGTCTCGGCAAACGCATCTACATCCCTCTCCCAGATGCTCAAGGACGAGAATCAATTCTCAGAGCTTTGTTGCGATGCTTGCCTCTAGCGGCGGACGTAGACATGGCCGCTATCGCGCAGCACGAGCTTTGCGAAGGCTTCACAGGAGCCGATCTCCATGGCCTTGTCAGTTGTCGCTCGTCGTTTTCCTCGTTTGTTTTTTCGGCAAGCTTTTTCCTAACTCTTCCTCCTTGTTTTCTTCTTTCCCTCGCAGGTCCAGGAGGCATGCGGCGTCGCTCTGCGCGAGAGGATACCACTGTGGCGTGCGAGCAACGGACAAGCTCCGCAAAGCGGGGTTACACTCACCCAAAAGCACTTCGCGGAGGCTCTCAATCGAGTGGAGCCTTCCGTATCGGCCGGGGTACGCATCAAAGTCACGATTTTTTCCCTCCTCCGCGTCATAACACACCTGTGATTTGATTGCCAGGACTACTCCAAAAATTTTCCAAGCTCCAGCCAAGCCGAGTCGCCGAAAACCAAGAGAAGAAAAAAGAAGAAGACGACGAAGGGAACAGTCCGGCTAGTAACACACTGTTAAACTAGAACTTTCCTGGGAGCCGTTAGATCAACGGCCAGATGTGATGGACGGCCACGATTCGCGATGCTGTTAAAATACGAAAGGGCTGGACTTTTTCTCCGCCATAGCCTACCAGTGATTAGGGCTAGATCTAGCGCCGGGATGGGGAGCCGCGACCGATTCTCCGCGGCGCGCGTCTGATCTGGGAGCTCCGGCGCCACTCCGAGGGATTCCAGGGGCCAGCGGCCTGAGGGATTAGCGCGGCGGCGTGGGGGCGGAAATCCATCGCAATGGCGGGCAGCGACGCCAATCTGGTAAGAAAGGTCGTGCTGAGCTACATCTACGTCGCGATCTGGATCTTCCTGAGCTTCACGGTCATCATCTACAACAAGTACATCCTCGACAAGAAGATGTACAATTGGCCCTTCCCGATCAGCCTCACCATGATCCATATGGCCTTTTGCTCGACGCTGGCCTTCCTCCTGGTGCGCGTGGCCAAGGTCGTGGAGCCGCTGGGCATGACGCGCGAGATTTACATGTCGTCGATCGTCCCCATCGGCGCGCTCTACTCCTTGAGCCTCTGGTTTTCCAACTCGGCCTACATCTATCTCTCCGTCTCCTTCATCCAGATGCTCAAGGCGCTCATGCCGGTGGCGGTCTACTCCATCGGCGTGCTGCTCAAGAAGGAGATCTACAAGCCCGAGACGATGGGAAACATGGTGCTCATCTCCATCGGCGTGGGCATCGCGGCCTACGGCGAGGCCAAGTTCAACACCTTTGGAGTGATCCTCCAGCTCGCGGCCGTGGCGTTTGAGGCGACGAGGCTGGTGATGATCCAGATCCTCCTCAGCTCCAAGGGGATCACGCTCAACTCCATCACCGCGCTCTACTACGTGGCTCCCTGCTGCTTCGTCTTCCTGTGCGTGCCGTGGGTGTTCGTGGAGCTGCCGGTTCTGCGCGAGAGCTCCAGCTTCAGCTTCGATCTGCCAACCTTTGGGCTCAACTCGGGCTGCGCGTTTGCGCTCAACTTGGCGGTGTTCTTGCTCATCGGGAAGACGTCCGCGCTGACGATGAACGTTGCGGGGGTGGTGAAGGATTGGCTGCTCATCGCCTTCTCCTGGTCGGTGATCATGGACAGGGTGACGACGCTCAATCTGGTGGGATATGGGCTGGCGTTCCTGGGGGTGTGCTACTACAACCACGCCAAGCTCCAGACGATGAAGGCCAAGGAGGGATTGAAGAAGTCGCAGCAGGAGGAGCGGGACGACGAGGAGCAGGGCATGGTTTTGGTGGAGCACGCTAACACCAAGGATGATGATGGGGGAAATTCGTGAAAGCTCTTGGGGCTTGCTTGCGCTGGCTATGGCGACGCGGAGAAGAGGCAGAAGAAGAAGAAGAAGAAGAAGAAGAAGAGAAAGAGAAGGGAGAGAGATCATCTTAGATGATGGTAGGACTATTTAATTTCCATTCAAAAGAAATCAGTGTGAAGAACAAACTCATCTCTTTCTTTATTGATTGTGATTGATAATAACGAGAATAGCTTCGTTTTCCAACAAACCCATAGCGGTACAAACGTTAAGAGTTTGTTGAAAATCTTCTAAAGAACAAAGTCGAAGAACAGCATTAATAACTGTTGGAGCATATTCGCCCAAATTATTTCACATCTACAACCCAACCAAGCGTTGGAATCGAGAGCGATTTGCATCTTGGGATTGCAAAACCTGTGACACTTGGGTTCTAGGTCGATCCCAATGCCGGGTTGTAGGCCCCGGGTTGAAAGAAAGGGTTTCAAAGAAGAGCTCTCTCCAAGGAGCCTGAGAGGAGCTCAAGCTCAATCTTGGGAGAGCTCCCCCAAGCTTGAAAGCCCTTCTCTCCTATTTGGAAAAAAGAGGGAAAAATCCAGAGATTTCTTACTCCATTGCCAACTTTTCAATGGCGAAAGAGAGGAAGTAGATTTCTCAGGCCTAGTGGAGCGGATCAGATGGAGTCATCATTGGAGCTCCTCTAACCATAGCTTCTCCAGCTCCTCACTGGCTAATCTCGCATCAGTCTGGCAAGGGTCATGGAAAGTTACCTGATCAGACTGTTGATGACCCTTATATCTTGATCATATGATTTTATATATTGTCCAGCTCACTCAAGCTGAGATCGCTTTCCGGGTCTAAATCCACTAGCCAGGGATTATGGTTTCGAGGACAGGGAGAGCACAAATAAAAGGGAAATGCGTAAATAGACTCACAAACGTCCACTCCAATTGCGACCAGAATCCTTCTCCATCTTCTAGATTGAATCCCAACATACCATAAGACACTGATGCTTGATTCATTCAAAGTAAGCAAATAAAGCAAGTCCCAGCAAACATTCAAGGCCAAAACTCCAAAAAAGAAGCTCAAGATATATTATGGCATTCTTGAGCGAAATACTGGTGTCTTTCCAGCTGAAAAGTCTAAACTCGTCAGTCTTGCTTTCATGGATTTTGACAGAACAGTAACAACTAGGTTACCATGTCATAGATGAAAGATATGAAAAGGTAATTATTCATAAGAACATAACATAAATACATACATACATCTTGACAAGCAAAGTGGCTCAGGTAAGCATGTAAAGCAAGTAATATCTACTATAGTTACAAATCAAAGAGTACCTTGACATGACTGAGTGTCTCAAAGCAAGAGAAGGTCATTGTGCAGCTTCTAGAGGTGGTACAGTGCAAAACCAAGACTTTTATTTTATAACTGAAAGTCAAACTTACCAGCACAATAATACTAGCCACCTAACTCATAATTAAGATTGTGGATACAAAACCATGTGTGATGTAAACATCTGAAATATTATGACACAAGGAAAACTAAAAATGACAATCTTATAGAGGTGATAGCTGTGTGTGTGGCAGCAAACTCCCTTGAGATGACATAAGTTCCCATGTCACAGTGTGATGCAAAACTGGGAACTCCTTTGTTCAAGAGGAATTCTGCTCAAGTTGATCATTAGGTGGTCAAGTGTCAACAACTTTGTGAGGTTCTATGAGTGTTGGAAATCATGGTTTCCAACTCCTTCAATCATGACTACACTTTGGGCCATTTGAGCGAAAGGACAGAGTTGAACTCTTAACTAAGAAACATAAAAATAAAAGCATAGAATAACTTTTAAATATACAACCAAGAAGCAAAAGAATAGGAGTTTAGGGCAATTTTCAAACATACAATTAAGGAGAAAAAAAAGGAGCATAGAACTAAAACCAACAAGCCTAACACTATTTTAGGCTTAACAGATATTGAAGAAGAAGAATAAAGTAAAGACGTTGCCATTGAAGTCATTAAATATCAAGGCAAAAGGTACCCTAAAAGTGCCCAAGTTAAGATGCCTACTTGGCTCCTATGGAGTGTGGAGCACATCTCTCTTTCCTGTGCTTTGTTGAGGACTTGAGACAGTTGTTTAATTTAAGAAACTTTGTGGTTGGGGTGTCTTGGCATAAAAAGTCAACTACATGAATCCTTGATTAACTGTCGCTTGGTGCACTACCATTGAAAAGGTAACCAAACACTTCTTACTTCCATTTCTCTTCTAGAACTGAGGCTTGGATCGCAGGTTTTCACTTTGCTGGCCAAATTCGCGTTGGGAATGAACATAGAGCCCAACTTCAGATATTGTGAGGCGGACAATGACCGTTGATTCTTTGAAATATATACCGTCTCCGGGTATGCCTCCTTATTCCCGCTGGCTAGAAGCAGAGAGAAGATCATGGATCATCGAGACCGAGATAGGAGGCTCACAAGTGTTGACGGTATATAGGCAGTTTTTCTTTCACTGTGAGAGCTGGAGCTTCCAGGTAGTTGCAAGCTGAGCTCCAAACCTGCAGCTTGCGACAACATTGAAGTGATCAATTGATCAAGAATTCCTTGCTGCCTCAGGCTGGATGGACCACAGTCCGATTTTCACGTACCTCTCACTCCAAGCCACTGCTAGCGCTGCGAGTTCGTCGTACGAGGAAGATGGAGGATGAAACCGACAGTGCGCTTCGAGCTGACGGTCTTGTCCGTGACTCTTGTGTGGAGCCACTTGGCCACGTATCCTGGAGTTCTCGTCCTGGAGCGGCTTGATGTCCAGATTTGCTGATCCGCCTTCGCTAGATTGTGATGACGATCCAGGATTTCCTTCGTCTACCACCCACGATCCCCTATCAGGTGGCTTTCTGCTTCATCTGTAGCCCAGCGACTGGTTTCTATAGCAAGAGGGAGGGACGAGGACCAGACCTATTTTGATTTCGAACCCGAATGGCCAGGAGGTTTAGAGAACAATCTAGATATTCGAAATAACAGTCAGAGAATATTCGTCCCCCACGAAAGTATTCCAGTGGAGTTTTGTGTCAAAGCCGCGGCGACGCTTGGGTTGCTGCGCCAATGGAGTCATCCGGGACTCCAACAGCGGGAGTTCCAGCAGATATTGGAGCTCCAGCTCCAGCAAGAGATCCAATTCCATCTCCATCTCCAGCAAGAGATCTAGTTCTAGCTCCAGCTTCTCCTGTGATCACTTTAGCAGGGGTTATGCCGGCCCCTATGGAAGTAGATGATGTAAGTTTTTTTCTGCTGCTGTTGCGCTTTCCTCCAGCCCCTGTCTTCTCCAGTATGGTATGATCAAGAGGCTGCTCCAGAAAAAGAAGCCCGGACTCAAGATCAATAGGAGAATTTTTCGCTCTTGTCACACATTTCATTTCATGTCTTCTCATCTCACATGGATTTAAAAAATCTCTCCCAGCCGCGCGAAAAAAATTCTAATTAGGGTTTAAGGTTTTTGGTCCGGCTCGGCCCTAACTGCCGTTCGCTTGATGGCGGCGGTAGCTCCGGCACCACCGGTGCGATGGCGAGCCGAGTCCAAGGAGATTGGAGGCTTCTACACGTTTCTCAAGTCGGAGGTACGCTGTGGATTGCCTGCATTGCGATTGAGCTCTGCAAAACATGGATCGTTTTCTTCTCCTCGATCGCTTCTTCTCCGTCGGTTTTCCCCCAGGTGGACAAGCTCAAGGCGGCCGAGGGCAAGATGAGAACCCACGCGATGAAGCAGTGCAACGTGCTGCTCAAGGAGTACGTGAGCTTCAATCCTTACATCCAGCGCCTCTACTTTGAGCACATCCGGAGCAAAAAGTATGGCGATTCTAGATATCCTCAAGCGTACCGCTGCTCCATGCGACAGCTGAGGTCCCCATCGGGTAAGAAGATCCTCCTTCCACTCTCTAAAGTTCTTGGAACTCAGCCTGGTTTGATCCAGTTCTTCGTCTCTTCTTCTTCTGCCAGTGTGGGACTCGTCTCCTCCGGCTATTTTCCGAAGAGAGAGCACGGTGAATCCAAACCACATCATGTCCGAGTCGTCCTCCATGTCGGGCTACGAGAGCTCCGACCACGCAAGCGCTCGGATACTGGCCAAGACTCCAAAGCCAGAGCAGGGCCGAAAGAAATCTCCGGAGGGATCTCATCATAGAGGGGCCGAGACTTCTCGAAACCCGGAGCGAGAGAATGGCAAGAACAGGTCTCCGGTTCTCATAAGATACAGGTCTCCGGACTCAAATCCGGAGAGGCCGAGCCAGGGAAGTCCTTACAGAATCTCCGAGGGGAGTCCCTTCAAGTATCGCAAAGCAGCAGGCCAACGAGTGAACGAAGACGTTGTGGACAGTTCTGTGTATCGTCAGCCGCCACCACCTCACCGGCAAGTTCAGCTGGATCATCCTACGTTTGCGAGGGTCATGGCGACGAGCGGCTCGGAAGTCGTCTCGGAAGTGTCCCGGTTTTTGACGCCGCAAGAGACGAGAGCTGCTGGTTCGAGATACGATCTCCCGACGCGGCTCTCGAGCGGCAGCAGCAGCGATCAGTCGACTCCGACAGCGGTGTTTGAGTCTTTGAACAGACGCACGGCGAGAGCGTCGGAACTTTCGACTTTGCAGTCGCGGTACTCGTCCCCGACGAAAACCATGGACGGCAGCAACGTCCTTTCAGGTGTCACAACCGAACCTCGGACGTCGTCGACGACTTCTTCGTCCACCGCAGGGATACCAGCAAGTAGCGATCTCCAGCATCGACACCAGGCTTTGTTTTCCTCATCGAGTAGAACCACGACGACGACAACATCTTTGTCGAGAGCTTTTGACACAAGCTCAAGAACTCTGGACACTAGCTCACAGGTTGGACTGCAGCAGCCGAGAACCGCATCCAGTGATGCCGTCACCAGCAGCTCTGCGAGGGGTTTGGATCGTGTTCCCGGCACTCCGTCCACGAAAGAAGTTTCTTTCGACGACGGTTTGCCTTACAAACTCGAGCAGGGAGGAGTCTCTTACCAGGACGAAGGCACTCAGACTTACTCGGACAGGATACCGGGAGCTCATGCATTGCGATATGGCATCGTCCAAGGTGGAGTTTCTCCTCCTCACAGGTCGGATCCAGATTTTCCCACTGCTGCTACCATGACTACTGCTACGACTACTGCTACCATCACTACTGCGACGACTACTACTCCCACGACGACGACAAATGCTACTAGGAACGAAGTATCCAATCAACAACACCCCGCCGCTAGCTCTTCGACTCACACCCGAAACGCGAGTCCCAGCAAACTCCCTGGAGGTGGAATTTACACTTACAAGATGCCGGCGGGAGGCTCATACAGAATGCTTGATCACTCAGCCAGGCTGCCGGAGGCCAAGCTCGTCGAGGGCTCTAGCAACATTTATGTCATCGAAGACGCGACTCAGTACAAGGTGTCCGAGAGCCGGACGTCGGAGCACGTCACAGTCGGGCATTTGCTCTACGGTAGCGAGACGAGGACGCTCGACACCGAGAAGAGAAGCCGGACGAAAAGTGGTGACAACGCTCTCCGACTTAAGAGGTTCTCTTCCATGTTCGTCTGCCTCGTCCATGATCTAAAGCTTGCTCTTTTCTTGTTCTATCCTCCAGGAAAAAGAAGAAGTTTGCTGCTCACCGATGCGATGTGAATGATCTAGTCCCCGAGCAGCGGAGAGTGAGGCGGAGATCCATCCAGAATCGAGTTCCAGAGACGAGGAAATACATGTTCTACAAGTACTACGGTATGACACCAAAAATTCTTTTTTTGCCTTGAAGGTTTTGTGAGGGTTTTTTCTCCAAGGATTTGCTGGTCAAGGAGCTAAAACGAGCTGGGGTCACAATCGCCCTCTTGGAATTTCTCCTCCTCACGCACAAAAAGCTCCTCCTCCTCCGGTGGTGGAAGGTGAAAGGCCCGACGCCGTGTAGAAATCTCCAGTAAAAATTCGCTCGTCACTGTAACTTTCCTCGTAGTTTTACCGCTATAGGCAGTTTGTCAATGTGTGTGGAGTCTGTGAGGAGGGATCATATAATTTCATCCTTGGAAGCAAATTTTCCTTTGGAATAGGGTTAGGGCTCTCGCGATGGATTCCTCCTCCGAGGACGACGTGCCGCTCGCGGCGCGCTTCAAGAAGGCAAATCCAGCCAAGGATTCGGACGACGAGGACGACGTCCCCCTCGCCCGGCGCATCTTTTCCGCGAGAGCGCGCAATCCCGGAGCGGAGCAGCACGCCAGCTCCTCCAAGGATGGATCGGTGGCGGCGGCGCCGGCTTCCGCCGATTCCAACGCAAGCGGGAGGAAGAGGCCCGCGCCAGCGTCCGCCAATGGCAGTTCCAAGAAATCCAAGGTCGAGGTGAGCTCCAGCGATGAGGAGAGTGAGGAGGAGGATGACGAAGACGAGGACGAGGACGTTCCCATTGGAAAGCGTTTTGGGGGCGATAGTGCAAAGCCAGGGAAGAAGGGAGCGACGAAGGGGAAGGCTGGGAGCAAGAAACCCAGAAAGGGGAGTGTTGCTGAGCCAAAATGGACGACGCTGGAGCACAATGGCGTGCTCTTCCCCCCGCCGTATAGCCCGCATGGAGTGAAGATGCTCTACAATGGTCGGCCAGTCGATCTTACACCAGAAGAAGAGGAGGTTTGTAGCTCTTTGTTTCGCTTTCTTCGTTTAATTGTAGCTGGTCTTGCAGATCGCGACGATGTTTGCCGTGATGAAAGACACTGACTACGCAACCAAGCCCGTCTTTGTCAAGAACTTTTGGGAGGACTGGAAGAAAGTTCTTGGTCCAAAGCACGTCATCCAGAAGTTTGAGCTGTGCGACTTCACTCCTATTTTCGACTGGCATGCCGCGGAGAAAGAGAAGAAGAAGCAAATGAGTGCAGAGGTGTGTTCGTCCGTGGATTATGTGTTTGTCTCACTTCTTTTTGCAGGAGAAAAAGCAACTGAAAGAGGAGAAGGCGAAAGCAGAAGAACGTTATGCATGGGTTCTGATCGATGGTGTCAAAGAGAAGGCGGGGTTACTTCTTTTCTTTCCACCCCATGGCAGTTTTCTTACTGTAACTCGTGCCAACAGGTTGGAAATTTTAGAGTGGAGCCTCCTGGCCTTTTCCGGGGCCGCGGCGAGCATCCCAAGGTACTTAAGCTTCAGTTTGTTTGTAAGCTTCACACCATTGTCGTTTAGATGGGAAAGCTGAAACGGCGCATTTTTCCTGAAGACATTGTACTCAACATTGGAAAAGAAGCACCAGTTCCAGAGTGTCCGCTTCCTGGTCACAAGTAAGTGTGCATTACATGATTCTTATCTTGTTAGGCTAACTTTGCTTACCGCAGGTGGAAGGAAGTCAGACACGATAACACCGTTACCTGGCTTGCGTTTTGGAACGACCCGATCAATGTGAAGGAGTTTAAGTACGTGTTTTTGCATCAAAGTAGTAGTTTGAAGGGCAAGAGCGATGAGGAGAAATACGATAAGGCTAGGAAGCTTACGTCAAAAGTAAGCAGGCGTTTTCTTTTCTTTTCTAATCTTCATTTCTTGTCAGATTGATAGCATACGGGAATCTTACACAAAGGATTTTAAAGCGAAGGATGTGGAAGCACGGCAGATTGCGGTGGCCACGTATCTTATTGATAGGCTTGCTCTGAGAGCAGGAAACGAAAAGGTGGAAAGTGTGTCATTTTCGTGCCTGTGAATTGACATTTTGATTTCAGGATGACGATGAAGCTGATACGGTTGGCTGCTGCTCGTTGAAAGTGGAGCACGTCTCTCTTTCCCCTCCGAGCTCGCTTGAGGTGCTTTGTTGAGGACTTGAGACTGTTGTTTTGTGATCTATGGTTCGCATATTTACAGTTCGATTTTCTGGGTAAAGACTCCATCAGGTACCAAAACTCTGTGGTTGTAAACGAAGAGGTATACGACGCTATACACGACTTCAAGAAAGGTATGTTGTGACTTGTGTTGTCCTCGTTGAGATGAGCTGTTTGTTACACAGGGAAAAAGGAAGGGGTTGACCTCTTTGATAGGTTAGATACTTCTAAGCTTAATGCCCATCTGAAGAAGTACATGCAAGGTCTAACAGCGAAGGTGTTTCGAACGTATAATGCGTCATATACTTTGGAGACGCAGGTTTGCGACTTTTGCTTTGTCAAGGCCAAAATGATCTGACGCATTACTTGTTACAGTTGAAGGAGACGCTTGGTGCGACTCTTAACGAGAAAACTGCAGAATACTCCCGAGCAAATAAGGAGGTAAGAGAACGTTCTGTTTGGTTAGCACTCATGAATCTTGTTGACAGGTCGCGATTCTATGTAATCATCAACGGACAGTATCCAAGGGCCATAGTGCTCAGATGGAAAGATTGGAGGCAAAGATTTCAGAGTTAAAGGTCTGTTTTTCTTTATGGTTTGTTTGAGGCTGACGCTTTGCTATTGGCAGACATTGCGTGAGGAACTTGCAACAGACTTGGGGAAAGTTAAAAAGGGCAAACCCCCAGTCCACAGCACCGCTAAAAGGCCTCCAACCGCAGAACAGTAAGTGGATGATTTTTATGTTTCCACTTTTATGATACTGACTATTCATGTAAATACCAGGTTGGAAAAGAAGTTGGCTCAAACTGATGCAAGGATAGCGAAGATGACCTTGGATCTGTCCGTCAAAGAAGATCTCAAAACCGTAGCGCTGGGAACGTCCAAGATCAACTACATGGATCCTCGAATAACAGTCGCTTGGTGCAAGCGACACGAAATCCCCATTGAGAAGGTGACCAGGCACTCCTTACTTTCATTTCTTTTATTTCTTTTACTGAGGCAGGAGATTTGGATCACAGGTTTTTAATAAGTCATTGCTGGCCAAATTCGCGTGGGCAATGAACGTAGAGCCCAACTTCAGATTTTGTGAGGCTGATGGTGGTGCAGACGAAGACCTTTGATTCTTTGAAATATATATCGTCTCCTCATTCCCGCTGGCTAGAAGTAGAGAGAAAAACTTGGAAGAAGGGAGTGACTCCCCTCTGCCAATATAACGTCAACACTTGCGAGACTCTATCTCGGTCTCGATGATCATGGTCATAGACGAGTGGATCCAGGTAGTCGGAAGCTGAGGCTTCTGGAGCTACCATCACTTGAAGGTGGTGGCAAGTCAAGAACGTCTATGTTACCTTCGAGCATATCCAGGACGTTTCTCATAGAGGGGCGGATTGCTGCCTCGGGTTGGATGCACCACAGTCCGATTTTCACGTACCTCTCGGCATCCTTGAGCTCCAAGCCACTGCTAGTGCTGGCGAAATCGTCGTCCAGGAGCTTCTCGTCAATAAGCTCGACGACGTTGCCACTGTGAAACATGCTCAGCGCGGTTTCGCCCAGGAAGCGCGGTTGTGAGGAGGATGAGGAGGAAGAGGAGGATGGAGGATGGAACTGGACGGTGCGCTTGGAGCTGACGAGCTCGAGCAGCACGATTCCAAAGCTGTAGACATCGGTCTTGTCCGTGACTTTGGTGTGGAGCCACTCGGGTGCCATGTATCCGGGAGTTCCTCGCATGACAGTCACCACCTGGCTCTTTCCCCGCTCGGCGAGCTTGCTCAGGCCAAAGTCGGAAATTCTGGCTCGTAAGTTCTCGTCCAGGAGGATATTTTGAGGCTTGATATCCAGGTGAAGAACTTGCTCCCGGCATCCTTCGTGGAGGTATGTGAGTCCTCGAGCAACATCTAACGCGATTAAGTGTCTCTGGTTCCAGTTTAACAGCAGATTTGCTGATCCGCCACCTTTGTCATCATCGTTCTTGGTGAAGATCCACTTGTCCAGTGATCCATTGGGCATGAACTCGTAGACAAGCAATGCGGCTGGTCCCTGAATGCAAAATCCTCGAAGCTTTACCAGGTTGAAGTGGTGAATGCTGCCAATGGACATAACCTCGGCCTTGAACTGCGAGTGTCCTTTCGACGCGCCTTGGATCTCTACGTCCATCTTCTTCACAGCAACGAGGCTCCCATCCACAAGCTCTCCTTTGAAGACAGATCCAAATCCTCCAGCTCCAAGTATGAGCTCGGGATCAAAGTTTCTAGTTGCCATCTTCAAGTCGTGATAGCTAAACTGGTGCGGAAGTATCTCATCGAGCCTCATTCCTTCGATGAGCACTTGCTTTTCCATGCGCCTCCTCCGAGATCTTCTCCACTTTCTGGTTGCAACGAAGATTACGACGCTAAGCACCACCCCGGCCACAGCGCTTGCTACCCCAGCGATCACTCCCAGATAACTCTTTTTGCTTCGAATGAACTGTGGAAGATTACTATCAGTGACACTCCAAGTGACATTTCTCAAGATTCCAATGCCTGGATCATACCCAAGCTGCCTCCACACTTGCTCGTTCCCAGCCACAGCGTTTGGAGCACAGGGCTCCGTGAACGAATGATCGCTGAGACACCCGTCTGGGGAGTAGCATTGAGCCACCATCCTGGCCACCGCAGTCCGTCCATTTGGAGCTAAAACTTGGATGTTTGTCGAGCACAAGCTCCGGTCTTGGCTATACCATCCAGTGGCCAGCGCTGCCATGGGTTCCATATTCCATTGCGAGGACGTGCACGGCCTGAGAGACCCCGGATTTGAGAGGTTGAAGCTTGTGACATAGAGGACGGCATTGTTGGTCCCTTGCAAAGTTGGAGAGCAAGTGAAAGTCCTGTAAGCTAGGCCTGGGACGCAGCAATTCGGGCAGTCTGGAGCGATGGTGGCATTCAAAATGACGCTGGAGAAGGGCTTGCAAGCTTCGGAATCGCTGAGATATGGCTCGGATTGATTGCTCGATTGGTAGCAGGATGAATTGCGGAGTGAACGGTTGCCGCTGAGCATGGGCTCCGGGAAACAAAGATATCCATTCGGGCAGTCGCTTGATGAAGAACATACCTGTTGTTGGGCTTGCAAGTGGAAACTCCTGGTGCTACATAACACTATCATGAAGCACATGAGAAGCGACACCTCCATAGTTTAGTAAATACCACTGTTCTTGGGCACCTGGAAACCACAGAAAATCACGAGATCGTGTCTCTCTTGTTGTTTCGGCCCACAGACTTAAAGTTTGGCAGCTGGCTGCAGGTATCTTTCAGTGTCATGGGCTGGCAGACGAAAAGAGGAATTCCTTCCAGGACCCGCAATGCTTTAACAAGCAAAAGCTTCGATCTTGACAAGTCTAGCTCCGCATGAGACCGCAAAAGACTTCGACTTTTTCTAGAGCTTTAAACCAGTTTACCCGCGAGAGGTTTGCAATTCCAGCCATGGATCATCGCAGCACTTTCTTCGCGCTCGCGATGATCTCACTCGCCAGCGCCACCGCGCAGCATTTCTCCTCCTCTTGCGGCGCCAGATGCGACGATTGTTCTGGCGGTCTCGTTTGCAATCCTGTTAGCAAGACCTGCGATGGTGATCCAGGAGCTAACACCCTTTCCTGCCCAATTCCCGGCTGCGAGCCCGCGCAGACCTTCGTCTACTCGAATGCCACCGCCCTCAATCCCGAGTACTGCGTCGGCAACTACACCTATCAGCTCTTCAATTGCTCGCCTAAAGAGCAGTCTCTCAACTTCGCGGCTTTATACTACATCGAGCTGGAGGGGCTTCCCACGGCATGCAATCGGTCCACGCCCTACAAGAACTCGGAGCTCCTGGCAAATATGGCCACCGGATGGTTTGCCAGTGGATCCTCGTGCTTCAAAGAGATTGCAATCACGGCAGAGAATGGATGAGCGTCACGGCGACGGTGGCGGACATTTGTGCATCGACGATGGGGTGTAGCCCAGCGACTGGATACTACGAGCCGTGCACGCCCAGATCGCTGAGAGGGACGAGAGGTGTGTGGAAAGCGACGTATTTTGATAATGTGTTGCAAGTCACTTGGAAGTGGATTCGAAAAAACGCACTCTTTTCATTGCACTGGTTTCTAGTGGAGCACTCGTTGCCTTGCGGCGCTCTTAAGGATTTTCTGGTGGAAGGTCGTGAGACTGTCCAATGCCGCCAAGAAGAAGCTCCATCTGGGGGATCGCACGGATGCCCCGCGGCAAATCAGGTACCAAGAGCTGTATCGAGCGACCAAGGGATTCCAGAGCAAGTGGGAGAGGGAGGGCTTGGGACTGTGTTCAAGGGGACGCTGCCCAGCGGAGAGATTGTAGCGGTCAAGAGGATTGGCGGTGGATCGCGGCAGGAGGACAAGCAATTTAAGGCGGAGGTGATGTCGATTGGCAGCATCCATCACCTCAATCTCGTCAAGCTGGATTTTGCCTGCATTCTCCCCACAACTTACTCGTCTACAAGTTCCTCGCCAATAGCTCGCTGGATAGATGGGATTTTGCCAAGGACAAGTACCTGCCCTGGGCAACCAGGCTTTCCATCGCGCTCGACGTCGCTTGAGGGCTTGCGTATCTCCACGATGGATGCCGCGAGAAGGTACTCCGTCTAGACATCAAGCCACAGAACATCCTCCTGGACGAGAAGATGAATGCCAAAATTGCCGACTTTGGATTCTCAAAGTTCATTGACAAGGACAAAACGCATGTCGTGACAGTCATGCGGGGCACGGTGGGATACATGGCTCCCGAGTGGCTCCACTCTCGTGTCACGGACAAGACGGAAGTCTATAGCTTTGGAATCGTCCTCCTGGAGCTTGTTTGTAGCATAAAGGCCGTGGAGTGTTCCTTGTACTCGGACTCGCAGATGGACGTTGTGTTCCTCACCCAGACCGCTTTTAACAAGCTCCACAGTGGAAACGCCAAGGACTTGGTGGACGATCGGCTGCTCAAAGCCGAGGACGGTGGTGGTTTTTTCTTGAGTGGCTTTGAGAACATCCTCCTGATCGGGTTATGGTGTACGCAGGAGGATCCCTTGCGGCGACCAACGATGTCTGTGGTGGTGAAGATGCTCGAGGGTGCCATGGATGTGTTGGCGCTCCCTCAGCTGGAGAGACCCGCTGCACAGGATTCATCGCTCTTGGTGAGCAGCAGCGAGAGCTCGGGAGTGCAGATCTCCATCTCGGTTTTGGACTTGGCTCGCTAAGTAGATTGCTTAATAAGTTAATCAAAAGGAATGAACTTTCATTTAAGTATATATTTAGAATCCTAATGAGAAACCGGAAGGTCTGGAGGCGGAAGATCTGGAGGAGTTCAGGAAATGGCTGAAGAGATCATCAAAACGGCACTTATAAACATGAATGAAACCACTATTTGGGTGATAAAGTTTTTGGCAAAGCGTGAAAGTTTGTACGTCTTTTTATGTGCTGAGTCTTTTGGTATACACACACCACACGGCACGGGACGGTAGTTTGAGCACTTCAGTGTTGCTTTGGCAGTCCCTTTCAATGCCAATGGTTTTCTTGGCTTGGCCTAGAACAGAAAAATTCTTGCAAGAAAGGATGATAGCGATTTGCTTTTGCCAGTCAAAAGCTTTAAGTCTAGCTCGCTTCGCCTGGTCAAAAACGTCTCTTTATTATTCCAGACGACTCGTACAAGAAAGACCAATGCTCAGGTTGGAAAACCATTTGCTGAGCTTTTTTGTTATGACAACAGACGCGTTATACACACATCACACGGCATGGCGATGCGTGGCTCCTATAAAAGGTAGAGCTCCGAGGTCATGCAAGAATTATACAGCGAGCAGCGCTGCGTTCATTCATGGCTAAAAATCATCGATCTTCCGCTTCTCTTGTGCTCTTTCTCTCTTGCATGGCTCTGGGATTCTCAGTGGAGGCAGCCAGAGAGAGTTTCACGTACTACTGGACTCCAGAGGAGAGTGATCTATGCGCCAACGAGGCCTCAAACACAGAAATCAAGGATTGCAATGACAACACGATAGCTTCCGTCTGTGGCAGTTTCAGTTCAAAAATCCATGAGGAGGGTGCTGGAAAGTTGAAGGACGGGCACTACGTGAATTGTCAAGAGAATTGCAACTGCTACTCCGTGACTGATGGTCCCAAGGGCAGCCGAGATAACGATTTGCATCTTTACGTGTCTATCGCGGTTCCAGATGAAGTGAAGTATCCCTTTGGATCAAAGCTCCAGATAGATCTGCTCCAAAACTTAGCGCTTCCCAACGGCAGGCAACACAATGGATGTGTTCGGGTGGATGACACGTGTTATGGATGCAACATGGACTTCTACGTGGGATCTGAGAGTAACTACCATAATATTGATGATGAGGAGCTACATGATGCTACATTCTGGGATGTCAAGACTGATAACTGCGAGATCCTAGACTATGGCAGCTAGATTGGAAATGCTTGCACTTGGTTTGCTATTAAGAATAAATCGCACTAATAAATAGCTCATCTATCTTTTTATCTTTTTAGTTGCAAGTCTACGGGCGATTTAAATTTATTGCTGGCGTCAGGGCTTTCCTGTCCAATTCCAGCCCGCCCAGGCTATTGTGTACGTGACTGGAGGGCTTGCAGACAAAACCGCTTTGGGATCGTATACTCCTGAGCTCGTACGCTATAGTTTCATTGCTAGTGGAGCGGTGGTCGCACTGGTGCTCTTATCAGGGCTTTTGTGCTGGAACCTCTTGCATCGATCCAATGTCACCACCGAGCAACAGCAGCAGCAGCAGGAGGAGCTCCTCATGAATGTGCCCCGGCAATTCAGTTACCAGGAGGTGTATCAAGGGATTCCAGAGCAAGGTGGGTGAAAGAGGGTTTGGGTGCTGCTGGTGGAGAGATTGTGGCAGGAGATGGAGATGAACATCGTTTGCTAGTAGGTCAATTGTCGACAAAGAACAGAGGACTACATCAACAGGATGACAGAGTTGGGAAATAGGCTGTAGTCATCCTTTAAAGACGAAGCCACTTCCTTGAATCAAGCACAACATCTTCCAAAAGCAGACACGTTCCTTAAGGGGGAGTGACATCAGCTTGTCCAGTGACACATCCAAACGATTCTATAATGATGTAACCGACATGCTATGAAGTTAATTGAGCAAAATTCTTACAGGTTGAAACAATCCAATGGCCAATCTGAACTGGCACAGAAGAAACGAGGAGAGGGCACAAGCGCTCACAACACTTGCACGAGTTACAAGAGGCGGGATGAGATGCAGTGATACCCTTGCTGCTCTAGGATATGTGGCCAAACCATCCCTAGGAAAGACTAGTCTCCACCACCACCTCATTACTAGATTTGTTCTAGATTCTAATGGGTCTCCACCTCCTGCGTCTCCTGGAAACTGGGACAGTTGGGAGAAGATGCTTAACAAATTCACATGAATAAACTTTGTGACATGGTGTTCCAAAGCCAACTCATCCTCATTGTTAAGGACTGCTGGGGTATCATGGGCAGAACAGAGCGAGTTGCAATTGCAAGGCGCTATCTATGATTGGAATTGGATTGGGTGATGAGTACATACACTCGCTTGATTGTGAAGGATGCACATGCAAACTGGGATGCTCTTCTAGTTGTTTTCTCAGCCAAAGCTGAGAATGCTGAAATGACACTTACCTAGAAATTCCTAAACATATGGATGGACCTGAAAAACTGTTGCGACCTATCTGCAAGTTTTGTGGACCGGGGTGACAAAGCAGAGAATCACCGCCTTGGCTTGTTCTTTAGAGGTAGGAGACTCAGCCTCTTTGAGTTCAGCCACATTCCAGGTCAAACGCTTGAGTTGGCTTTGCTGGAAGAAGAGTTCAAGAACATAATCAGGCCTCTTGGGATGCTTCTTGTGAGCAGGCCCTATACATCAGTAGCAAACCCTCTAGAGACAAGAAGAAAGGGGCATTCTCATAGAAACCCAACACCTCTTCTTCTCAATCTGGCACAAACATTACCAAGAAAAGAGTGGCAAGATAGAGTTAGGGTAGGTTTTGAGTTCATCAGTTCACAACTTTTAAAACACAAGAAAAACATTAGTTTGACTTGAACTAACATTTTTTCATGTTTCAAATTTTGATTTAATAAATATAAATATAAATCCAAACACTAAAAGAAATTTAAAAACACTTCTCAAGCTCTGCAATTTTAAAGCTTGCCTAATGGATATAATGATCAATTTTAAGATTTTGTAATAGATTTGTTTGTAGGCTAAATATACCATTCCTTTGTTCTCCCTTTGTTGAATGGGGATTTCATATTTATCCTCCAAAAAACCATAGATATCTGGTTTTGACATGCTTGAAATCAGGAAAGAGTATATTGGGGGGTAATAACGAATGAAGGATCAATGGAATTAAAGTCTGATTCTGTGCAATTCAAATTAAGGAAACAAGAGTCTGGTTTTGTGTAGCCTGCCACTCACTCCACAAACACATGCTCCCAATCCTTAGTGGTTTTGAACTTTATGCTTTATCCATGGTCCCCAGTCTCATCTCTCCTATATCGACTATGCCTACCAATGTGAGGGACTTGAGTTCGTCATGAAATTAGTGGAGGTACACTGCCCTTGCTTAATCTCCATCTGTATGGCATCTATAGTTTCCCAGAGATATAAAAAGCCCTTGAAGATGTACAATCCTAGATCCTATAGTGTAGTGAATTGAGGAAGAGTGTATAATCTTTAGTAATGGTGATGTTGCTGTTGCCTGGAAGTCTTCTCGTTGCTACTATGTTGTAAGCCACAAAATTTTCTTTCCAATTTGCTAGTTTACCTCATCTATCCAACCAACACTGCTTTAGCTTTAGCTAAATTCCCCCGCCAAGGTTCCTGCCTATGGTACTAGCTCCTACTTGGTCCTACTTGGTTTTAACTACTCACTACACGAGCAACAGAACATTAGTCATTCATCCATGGATTCCCAAATCTCTCCCAATCCCCCTCCTCGGGTTAGATTGAACTTAAGGTTTGGCTACACTCCCCGTAAGCACAAGCAGCCAAGCACACCAAGCCTCCAGATTCCTAACATCCCTTGGTACCAGAAGACTTGATCATGGGACCCTCTAAATCCCAAGTCTTGGGTGCAACACATGCTTTGGGATGCTAGGGTGAAACACCGTGGCTTAACAGGCCAATATGGGTACCTCTACCCCCCCACTTCCATCCCAAAGGGAAAGTCCAAGCCCCTAGGAAGGGCGAGGACTAATGAGTTGCAAGGTACTCAAGTGGGGCACCACTCCACATGAGCCAGGAGCACCATAGTCGGTTTCCCTTTCGGGAATGGGAGCTACTTTTGAGCACTTCCTTAGGTGGCCCCTCCAGCACTACCCGAGTCCATGCTCACTCCCACCCAAGGCCCCTCGGCCCCAGTCTTAACCTCAAGTCAGTTTAGAAGCACCACTGAAGAGTTCTTTCAAGACTGATTCCTGAACCTCACTATCTCTACTATACTTTTGGAACCCCTTGTAGCCCCCCCCCCCACCCCTGACCTATATTAGTACTTGGACTCGGTTTCGGACTCGATCTTAGACCCGACTTCAGACTCGGTCTCATACTCGATCTCGGACCTGATCTCAGACTCGACTTTGGACTCGACCTCGGACCCGGTCTCGGACCCGATCTCGGATCTCAGACTCTGTCTCGAACTCGGTCTCGAACTCGGTCTCTAAGTCGGCCTCGGACTCGATCCCGAACTCTATCTCGAACTTGGTTTCAGAGTCGGTCTTGGACTCGATCTCAAACTCGGTCCCATCTGATGAACTCTTTGTCATTTTGGTCATGCTTTTGGGGATCCTTTAGCTTACAACACCTCGGGGAGTTGGTTCCTTACAACTCCACCACCCATAGAAGAAGTTCAATGCCCACATCGAATATCTCTTTTTATTCTACGACTTGTTGACCATGTCTCCGAGGGCATCCCTCCATTTAGCAGTGTGCCTAAGTTAGCTTCCCTGGCCAAGAGCCCATGACAACAGAATATAAGTGTCTCTATACCCCTCACCCCACCATGCCCTAGTATGGGGTTGGGACTTGAACCTAACCTTGCTTTACTAGGGGGTTGAGACTCGAACCCAACCTTTGTAGAATACGTCTACGGATTTGACATCCCTGTGGAGAGTTGGGCGTAGTTCTCTATACTTGGTCGACTTAGTTAACCCATGCTAATTAGCTTACCTTCGGCGTGCCTTCAGGTCCCAACCTATGCCATTGCTCAACTTCAC